GCTGCCCCCTGCCCCCAGGCGGTCATCACGCAGCAGGACAGCTTCGTGGAGCTGCAGCGGGCCACCATCCAGGAGCGGGAGCGGCAGCTGCGGCTACAGTCGTCCCGGGGGAGCCTGCTGCTGGAGCAGGAGCGGCAGCGCACCTTTGAGAAGCAGCGCGAGGAGCTGGCAGGCGTGCAGAAGCTGCAAGGCCAGCTGCGCCAGGAGCAGCAGCGCTGGGAGCGGGAGCTGGCGCGGCAGCAGCAGGAGCGCGACCTGGCGGCCACGCGGCTGCAGGAGCGCGAGGCCGAGGCGCAGCGCCGGCAGGTGCAGCTGGACCAGGAGCACGCCGAGCTGGAGCGCCAGCGGCAGGCCTACCAGCAGGACCTGGAGCGGCTGCGGGAGGCCCAGCGCGCTGTGGAGAAGGAGCGGGAGCGGCTGGAGCAGATGCGGAGGCTCAAGAAGCAGCTCACCGTGCCAGCCGGCGGGGCGCCGCCCACTGAGGTAGCCGCAGAGGTGAGGTGTGGCTGTGCCAGGGAGTGGACACCCGTGGGTGTGGGGGAGGGGGAGGGGGGAGTGAGCGCGTACAAGTGCATGGACGTGGTGAGCGTGATTTAACTTGTGGGTGAGGGGGGGCCCGTGCACAAGTGGAGAGGGGATACCGAGTGTGAACCCCTATGCAGAGTGAAGTAGCACATCGGGGCTTGAGAAAGTAGATAGTGAGGGTGTGAACCTGTGTGGACATACGTGATTGCTTTAACATGAGGGTAAAGTGTCGTCCCCCCCCAACCCCGCACAAGTGGTGGATATGGGGTGTGTGGAGGAGGGGTTATTAAGGGTGCCTTCAGGTGTGCTTTGAGGGTGGGGGTGAATGGCCAACTCCTTTGAGCCCGGGGACTGCCCTCCCCAGAACAGAAGCCTCCCACTAGAGGTCAGGAGGCCCCAGGGCTTCCCTGAGGTTAACACCTGGGCGGGAAAGCTGGCAGGGACCCTGGGGAAACCCCAGGCACCTGACAGCGGTCTCCCTTCAGGCCCCAAGCTACCCTCCCAGCTTCAACGGGGACGGGCTAGAGGGACCCACGGCTCAGGTGCCAGGGCTTCGGGTGAGCGGGCTGCTGCCCGGTGCTGGGACCGAGTACACCGAGCGCCCTGGGGTGGCTCGCCGGGACAGTGCGCCGGCCGAGAGCCGCCTGGCCAAGAGCGACGTGCCCCTCCAGCTGCTCAGCACCACCAACCAGGCCCAGCGGCCAGCGGCCGTGCAGCAGCAGATCCCCACCAAGCTGGCCGCCTTCACCAAGGGCAGCAAGGACAAGGCGGGCAAGAGCAGGGGCTCGCAGCGCTGGGACAGCACAGGTGAGCTGGGCCCCACCCCGGGGCCCCTCCGTGCGGAAGGCTGCACCCCCCCAGCAGCGAAGTCAGAGCAACAAAGGCCAGGTCCTCCCCTCCAAGGGGGTGGAGGGCTGCAGGGACAGAGGGCGTCTAATCAGTTGACAGAGATGGGCCTGATGGGCCTACGAGAGCCCCGCCCCAAGCCCTGCCAGAAGCCCACAAGCCCCTGAAGGTGGTCATGGGCAAGAGGGCAGAGCACGCTGGCTGGAACCTTAAACCTGTTCTTCCCCCATCCCCCCACCCCCACTGGACCTGAGGAAGGGTGCTGCCCCAGTACTTTCAGCATGGTTTTAGAAAGTAGGCATGAGCCCATTGGGCGTCCAGTGTTACTGTGGTAACTATTGCTGAAGCTAGAGCGTTGAAACACCCCACCCCCACCATGCTGGTAGGCCCGCTATGGTGGGCCCCCCCACCTCTGTGTGACATCTGACGCAAAGCATCTGTCAGCCGCAACACAAGGAAGCAAGACTCCCGCAGGCAGGCAGGGAGGCCCCGGATGCAGAGTGAAGTGCTCACAGGTCCCCAGCAGGGAACTAGGGCACAGCTGGGCCCAGGGCCACACAGGCTGCCCGCAGGAGC